AGTACAAACATCCGCCGCCAAATTAGTCCTCGTCATGTACGCAAGTACATCGAGCGCCTTCTCCAAGCGATTCCAGTGAACGAAGAGATGAACTAAGATAGTGTAGGTTACTTTCGATGGAGAAAGGCCTCTTTCCTCCATCTCACGTACAAAGTCCAGAACTGGCAATGAAAATTCGCTTCTCGAGCATCCCGAGATCAAGATAATGTACGTAACGACTGAAGGAGATGAACCAGAAGACTTTAGTTGATCGAACAATTCTAAAGCTAGATCGAGTCTCCCAGCATGGCAAGACCCATCCATCGACATGTCATAAGTAATGATAGAAGGGCTCAAACCGCAATTCGTCATCTCATCCACTAAATTGATCGCCTCTCTGACCGTTCTTTGTAGGCACAATCCCTCGATTAAAATGTTGTAAGTCACGACATTGCATGCCACACCTCTCTCACGCATTTCGTCGAACAGTTGGAACGCCTTGTGCATTTCTCTATCGTTACAGTACGCGTTCAGCACGCAGTTGTAAGTATGCAAGTCGGGCAACGACCCTTCGCTCTTCATCTTCTCGTAAAGCTCAAACCCGTCATTTTTCAGACCTTTCTTGAAAAACCCGTTTATCAAAGCGGTGTAAGTATACTGATTAGCAACCAATCCCATTTCTCCCATTTGAGAAAAGAGTTTCTTTGCCTTCTCAACCTCACCCTTCTTACAGCAGCCATCGATCAATGTAGTGTACACAACTACATTAGGAGTCAAACCCGTTTCGCGCATTTCTCCCAAAACATCGAAACCTCTCCTTAAATCCCCACTGTCACAACAACCCTTCATCAAAATTCCAAAGGTGTAAGCATCAAATTCAACTCGTCCCTTATTTTTCTCGAACACCAACCAAGCTTGTTCAAATCCATTGCCTTTTACAACACACTTCAGCACACTATTAAAAATATTCGACGCAGGCATAAGCCCTTTATCAATCATTTCATCAAACAGAGAAAGGACGCGTTCTGTTGGCAACTGCGCTTTGGCATAAGCGCTAATGATCGTCTCGTAAACGAGAGATGAGTTGAAATACTTCGAGTTACGCGTCAGGTATGAGAGAAGAGAAGAGACTGTGAATAACGGGGAAGTTATTTTATCGGAGAGTAGCTGCAAAATGAGGGACTGAGCGTGCAAGACCATGTTGAAAGATAAGAGATGGTAGATGATTACTGATACAGATTGGTGAGTGTGGTGGAGGTCTTGGCCGGTTGAGGAGGTGAAGAGGGAGAGCGCTTTCAGCGGCGGAGCTTTCAGCATTTTGGAAAGAAGAGCAACAGCTTGATGCTTACTTGCAGACATTTTCACAAACAGTTTGCGAGCAAGGCAGAATTTACAAAAAGACTCTTCTTTGGCACTAAACACATTAGCTTGAGTTAAAGATTACTGGGTTGATGCAATAGATATAGAGAGCAGCATCTCTCTGCACATAATTCCTGAGAAAACCAAACAGAAATAGAAAGTTGTAATGTCATGAATGTAAATCGAAGGGGAAATGTGTTTGTGTGTGTTATTATTCATTGTCACAGAAAAAGTAGCAGCGGAGTTTTTTTTATTTTTATGTGAAATTGGGTATTAATTATTGTCCCACATCGATAAAGAGTTCATATAATGGAGAAAAGAACTGAATATAAAATGGGAAGCCCTTGAGCGGTTGTAAGGCACGCAGCCGCGCGGTGAACACATAGCGAACTATTCTTTCGCCTTTTACTAAAGAATACCGTGTGTTCGCCGCAATTCAAGCGGCATACGCCAATTTTTGTAGGGCGTCTCTCTTTACTGAGTGAGCCCACACAACTCTAGTTTAATATTTCAGCTGTGGTTAGGTGTTGTTAGTTTTGTACTTATGGATTGTTCATTATTTCGAAATAGTTTTGTTTAATTTGATCTAGTAATGTTACAGTCATAATTAATACTAAACGTCCGAGATATAAAATAATTGGGTTTTCATTAGATTAGTTAATCTTATATGGAACCTCCTAAACTTCCCCCGGTATGAGGCAGAAACTCGAACCTAAACTTCCCCCGGTCTTCGGAGTTCAGAGGTCGAGCCCCACCTCAGCAGTTAGGGTGCGACTTAGGTCAACTAACACAAAGAAGATAGAGTTCACTCAACGATTACTTGACTAATCTTATCCTGGCAATCAGACCAGGACTATATATATATATATATATATATATATATATATATATATATATATATATATATATATATATATATAAATAAATCTTATATTATTTCTAACCAATATACACAGTTTGCAGGATTTGATAACAAACAAGTATGAAATATATAAATTGTCCTTTTAAAAAAAGTGATCTTCCAAAATAGAGTTATTTTCTTGCAAACTTTGGAGTTCATAACACCTAATTTTAAATAAATGAGTAAAACAAAGAAGTTTGTTGGTTTGTTACATACAAATGACAGTTTATTTGGTTTTCTTATTGTTTCTTGATTTTTTCCCTAAATAATGTATGCTCAATTCACATGTTACATATATGTCATTATCTTCATGCAAAATATCAGCCAATAAAAGAACACAATACAACCTTAAAATTTTGCTCAAACTTTGTAGCCTGTTGTCCAATCAGGTGGGAGTTCATTGAGGTCAAACCCCAAGACTCTCGTCTGCAGGCGGCGGCAGTGCCGCTTGTGGCCGCCTAAAGCCTGCCCTTTCAAGAACCTCTTGTCGCAAAACGGGCACCGATGACACCCGAAACCGCCCCCCTCGGAACACTCTTCGTAAATTTCACAATTTTTCGATGTCGGAATTTTACGAGCCTTCATGTTATTATTATGGTGAGCTTTGTGTCCTCCCAAAGCCTGGTAGCTCTTAAAACACCGCTCGCACACGTCACAAACGTGCAGTTTTTCCGGATCATTAATTCCGTCACTAAAAATTACCGACGGATTTACGATCTCGTCGCTGTTTGCCGGATTTGGATCGGACGCATCCGAAACAGATGAATCCAGCTTCCTCTTCTTTGGTGGCAGGTTTTGTTCTGCCAGGGCCTTCTGTTTTCCAGGCCTGTGTGATCTCCTCCGTGTTTTTGACCATACAGGCAACGATAAACGGAATCTTTCCAGGGAACAAACGGAATCTGAAAAGATGCTGTTTTGCATCCCTGGAATTGGTGGTTGCATTCTTCCACTCCTCATCTCTGCATGGTTTCTCATCTGCACTAACAGAGACTTGTCTGTGATGAATGTCTGATCACAGACAGGTGATTTTAGGTTTCTCTCATGAACTAATTTAAGCTCCATTTTACTATGAAACTGCAAATTTTTGTTTTCACAACTTCTTTTTTTTTTTTTTTTTTTTTTAATAATATTTTATAAGAGAAATAATATGGGAAAAAAGTTTGCAATCTGTGATAACAAAATCTGTGATATTATAATCTGTGAAATAAAGTTTGATGTTACTTACCAAGAAACTATAACGGATTGTGCAAAGTGTTTTAATACGCCATATTCATTAAACACTAAATGAAATTTGGAAATTTAGGGAAGTAGTCTTCGGTTTCTTTTACATTGCTGCTTATTAATTATATTTTCTCATTCACCAATAATAAAATTTTGTAATATTTTAATGGGATTCTTGTCATAAATTTCTTGATATTGCAACTTTTTTCTTTTTTTTGGATAAATGAAGCCATTTTTGTAATGGGATTGGATATTTGGATTGTTAGCATAAATTTTTATTTCACTTTTATTTTTGACATATGGGGACAAAATTGTCATTTTGTTCTTGGTCAAGATTTGGTTGGATGTAACAAATTTTGAAAAGGGCAAATTACGGTTACCCTGATGTAATATTGACTTACAAAAAAATCAGTCATATTTGAATAATTACAACTATTTATAAATTGTCTTACGCTTTCACTATCGCGGTGTAAATTTTACCTACTGAATAAGGGGATGATTGTAATTATCCAAACATTAAGGGTTTTTTTTAGTAATTCGACTTTGAATATTAGTCTTTTAAACCCTTGATATAATACAAATATAAAATGAAACACCACATTACAATAGAAGACTTATTAAGAATCCCAACTGCATGAGAATGCTTACAAACATAACCATTATTTCTTCAAACTGAAATTATTTCTCCGGCGTTGTTATTATTATTACTACTATTATTATTACGAGTTGTGCTTGCCAAAGTTCAATGTCTATTTATAAGACCAAGCATTCTCGAACCTTGTCCATCTTTTTGCTTTTCGTGCTACCGTAAGTCTTTCCGCTCTTCATTTTCTTGGGTCCTTGTTTCCTTGCTTCGATCCTCTGTTTTCGCTTTCTGCACCACATTTCATTATTATTTTTCCAACTTTTTTTCTTTCTTTTCTTTCCGTGTCACGACTCTTGAGAAAATAAACGAAGCCTAATAAATTTACATTTTAATAGAGTTAAATCACATTTTTTCCTTCGAAATCACTAACATTTAGAATAACAAATTCAAAAATTTATAGTAATAATTATTAGGATGAATTTATCAACAAAAATGTTATCGAAATCTCTGTTTATTATTTGAACTCCAAATCAAAAAGCAATGCACGATTCTATATTTCCATCACTTAAAATGAGTTATGTAGGTGTGTGCTTCAACAAAAAGTAATAGTTATTCGGATGAATTTCCATAATTTTTTTTAACATAGAGGAAAAAATGGTCAGGTTATTCATTCTTTTTTGGTAGTTTCTTCTTCATTTTCTTCTTCCTTTCAACTTGGAATATCAAACTATCAAGTTCAGCTATCATAATCATAAAAGATTTTCAACCAGCTTTATCGAAACAACCTGAAGTCCACTTCCGAAGTGTACGAGTACGAAATTTACCATTTATTTACCCACAAACATAAAATGTTTGTGTGTCAATGAATGGTACACACTACGCTCGCAGTTGAGTCACATATGGTGGCCATGAGTTCTTTTTTCCCTATGCAATAGGGGCGATGAGTTATCTAAACTCCAAAGCAGCAAAAATAGGTTAAGAAATCAATACCCGTTCTGTTTTTCACCCACGATTTCAGGACCTAATAGACTACACGAAGGGGCTGGTAATTTGATCCGGTAAAAACGGAAATTGTAGAAGAAGGGAAACTCGGAGATCCCTAGATATTATTCCATTATTTCGGTAACAATTAAATAGGCTCGACCTTTAAAAAAGGAAACGCATAGAGGTCCAAGAACCAGATGCCCATAACAAATATGGTGTGGAGCCATGATCAAGAATCAAGAATCTCGAGATCCCTAGATATTATTTTGATAATATGCTGCATTATTGTCCACTCAGAAAACACTCGAAAATATAGACACCCCTTGTGAGCACTAACAGAGTGTGTGGGGCTTTACTGGGAATCAAATATGTAGTAGCAGTAGCACAACCACATATTCGATGCTGAATAAAGGAGTCCCACTGAATAAGTATCGGAAGCAATCCTTTCACTCTAATGGCAGAATCAGAGGCCAGTGGGGTTACGAAATCTACATCAAGATACGAAACGACCGTCCAGCACTTAATCAAGAATCTTAGAGGTGGAAAAGTATCTTAATTTGGTTATATAGAAGCTAAAAGATTAATGTATCTTATCCTGGGATATGCACAAAAAGGGTTCATGAGTTTTACTAGAAAATAAGAACGAAGAGACTTGACCTAGACCTCTAAAAAGAACAAAAACTAAACAAGGTCGAGAAATTGGGATACCGACAAACTAGTCACCCGTAAAAGAAAAGATCAAAAACCAAAAAGTTCTCCAAATGTTCTAGAAGTTCAAAACATGAAATTTTAAGATAAGTAGAGTCGAAGAAGGTACACAGAACACAACCATATACTTGAAAAAAAAAATGCAAACAGGATAAAAGTCGAGCAGCCAAACAAAGCTAATAATGCCAAAAAAGCATACCCTAGCTGAAACAGAAAATATAATCAAACTTATCTGCCCTGTTTCACTTTTTTTTTTTGGTTCAATCTTAAATAGTTTATAAAAGAAGACTTAAGTTTGGAGTTGGTCAAGATCTCACTTGGCCATCATGACCTTGACGAATTCCTCGTAGTTGATCTGACCATCACCATCCACGTCAGCCTCACGGATCATTTCATCAACCTCCTCATCAGTCAGCTTCTCACCGAGATTAGTCATGACATGGCGAAGCTCAGCTGCAGAAATGAATCCATTCTGGTCCTTGTCGAAAACCCTGAAAGCTTCCTTGAGCTCCTCCTCGGAATCAGTGTCCTTCATTTTCCTGGCCATCAGATTGAGGAACTCTGGGAAGTCGATTGTACCGTTGCCATCAGCATCAACCTCGTTGATCATGTCCTGAAGTTCAGCCTCGGTGGGGTTCTGTCCCAAAGAACGCATGACAGTTCCGAGCTCCTTGGTGGTGATGCAACCTATCAAGGAATTCACCAGAAATTATAAGAAAAGGAGAAATCCGAAAGTTTCTGTAGAGCACAATAGTTACGGTTTTCACATGGCTGATACCACATCATGGTTTCTCTAACAAAAATCTATATCAACTTGAAAGATTTAAGGTGCGAAAAAAAATCTGAAAGTTAAAATGAGACCACAAATCCACGGATCAAAAAATGCAATAGATGTTAAGAGAATAGAATGCGCGGTACGCCTAAAGTTAAAATATGAAGGAACAAAAGATGAATACATAGAAAACCAAGTGAAGTCTTGATGACAAGTTCATGGACTCCAAGTTGGTGAACTACACGAATATTTTTCAATTACTTGTGGTACAAAACCCATCGTCCCATCCGAGCTGTAATATAATTCCGAGAAGAAGATGGAACTGATGAAATTCCCTCCTTTCCATAATGTAAAAGACAATAAAAAACCATTCCAACAAAAGAAGAAGCCTTAACTCAAGCTACATAGGCAATACTAGACTAATTGGCCAACAAATAATTGCATCGGCAAACATCAAATATTCCCCAATCACATAAATGCACCGCATAATTTGATAAATAAGGAGACAAAATATGTTAACTATCTATGAACAGCAAAATGAGCAGAACCAAAGTCTGCCTCAAATATGAGCACATAACCACCACTATTCGCTGTGGTTGTATGCACCACAACAAGCAGCAGCATATAGCAACACCAATTATAACATCATAAATTCCATGTTTCCCTGTCTATCAATCAAAATAAAGAATCCTAAACTAATGAACATAAAAACTACAGGCAAACCATCTAACACGCATCAAAAGTGCCTTCATTCCCAAAATACACACGTCCATTAACACAGTTCATACAAACACAAAACTCCAGCACCAAGGGCGGCAAAACACCACAAAAATCCACCACTACGGGCATCAATACAGCCTGCGATCTATATTTCGCGCAAAATCAATACCAAATCACACGAACACCAACAAAGGCGCCAACAAAATCAACATCTCACGCGTAAACCAATAGCCATTACGAGTACTCAGATCTACTCAGAAACACGTGAAAACTCAAAAAATACACACACACACACACACACACACACACAAAAAACGAATCAAACGACGAACAAGTCAGAGTAAATCTAGATACGAATAAGCGTTATGTAATTAAAGCAACTGACCGTCTCCATCCTTGTCGAACAGAGAGAAAGCTTCCTTGAATTCTGAGATCTGATCGTCGGTCAGCTGATCCGCCATTTCTTTTGTTCTTTTCGGAGAGCTTTTTTTTCTTCCTCTTAGGCAATAATACAAACACCAGTGTGTGTGTGTGTGTGTATGCGAATTGTTAGATAGAGAGAGAAGAATGGGTCAACGAAGAAAATGAAGGAAAGCGTGGGGCTATTATATAAAATCGGAATAGGGTGGGGTGGGGGTTCATTTTCTTTTTTCTTTTCTTTTTTAATTTCCATATTATTTATTTTATTTATTACTTTTGAACAAAATTAAATGAGAAATTCTTGTCTTGCTTTTCTCAACCAATAATGTGCACTTTTACTTTATTCTTCTTTTGCTAATATTCTATCCTCTTTTTATTTTCCCTTCTTTTTATTTTTATGTAAAATTTCGTTGCGTTAAGAAAAATCTGCATCAAATCTTCGGTCGTTTTACTATGTATAAATCTCGTTTATTTTTATTTTTTATTTGTAAAAAGAATTATGTTGCACAAATTGTTACGAACATGTATTTCGTACATCAAATTATATGCGACAAAATATGGTTTCTAAAGTGTTTCGGATTTAAGGGACAAATTTAGCCTTATATAATATAATATTTACAAGTGGACCGTACAAGTTTTGAGTATACCAAAAATTAAACAAAGTCCAATTATTTAATTAATCATGGCTAACGAAACGAGGCTTAAGAATATTATGACGACTTCAACATATGTGAGTATGAAGTTAAGAATAAAGCACTTTTTTTGGTTGTGTGTAATTCCCCTAATCTTGACAATCACATTTGTTATTTGTATATCAAAATGAAAGGCATCTCTTTCCTTTTCTTGGAATAGTAATTTAGGTATAGGATTCGAATAGTGATGCATTTCTGCGTAAAACTATTTGGTAGTTTTTAACATTTTATGTTGTTATTATGTATATGATTTTTTTTTAAAAAGACTAATGTGTAATAATGTAATTTTATGAACATGATGATTTTCATCAATTTTTAAATATACAAATATTTGTAATATTGTGAAGGTACTTGAGTTGATGTAGCATAAAAGTGAGAGAAAGGATTTTTTAAAATAAAACTTGTTAGTTGTTACGAACAAGATCACTCACGAAATGTATTGTTCCAAGTATTAGTTTCTCCGTTTATTTTACTCGGAAACGAGTATATTGTTGTTCGATTATCTCTCGATTTTGTCGGTTCTTTTTGCTTGTTCGGTTTTTCAGAACTTTGACACGCATTGCTAACTGTTATTTACGATTTCTGTGGCATTCGTGAATCTTGTCTTCATTTTTACGACGTACGATCATATCACTTTATGTTGCCTTTCTGCACCATTGATCTAAAACGCTCATACGTACACACTGTATTTATTTGTATGAATAATGTGACGGTCTATGACTACTTCGACAGAAATTTATCGATGCTTGCAGGATTGATCGTTGGGTTGTTGTAAACTTCTCAGCCAGTGGAGATATTCCATCAATTGCTGCGGTTAATTGCTAGATATAATCGGATAACTCCGTGCAATCAAATAAAACTCGACATATACACTAAAGATGACGGCATTATATATAAACTCAGTTTCAATATATTTCTAGCATGAAGATAGCCATGCTGTCATTATTATCGATGAAATTTGAGGAAATTAAACAAACTCGGAAACATCGTCTAGCCACAACGAGACTACTGCGCCAGCTGTCACGCCAATGCCTAAGCTGATGGAGAGGGTCCGAAACTCGATGTTCTTTTGTTAGAGCCGTCCTAGCTACATGATGCATTTTTCGTACAATGTTTTCGGGAATTTTTGTTCGAAATAATGTTCGTTATAATTTTGTTAAAATGCTTTCGGTTGTTTAACATTGAAAACAAAATCGATTTTTTTTCGAAGTACCATCACAAAAAAGATTAAAGATAATAAAGGAATTAAAAAAAAAAGTAATAAACATGATAAATGAAAGAAAAGAGACATTGATTATGCAACTTGAGCGTGCAAATCTTTACTTATTTTGAACAAATCGTGTTCATAAAGATTGCAATTAAAGTAAAATATATTTATATACATTCATAAATTGGAAAAAAGAATATTAGAAATATAGTACTTCGAAGTTCCAACCTTATTATTAGGTTATTACTACTACTATTAGTAGGGTAAATTACCCGTCAAATATGATTAAATTACGAAAATCCGCCTCATGTTTGAATAATTACATCTATCACTATAATGTAAAATTCAATATAATCTTTTAGATTCCGTGGAATGTTCTTTAGTTTGTACTTGTTTTGTGGCAAAAATGCAGTTTCTAATGCACCACAATCTGATATATACAAGTCAAAAAATACATTTTGTAATCATTTTGTTTCAAAATGTAAGCTCTAATGAGATAAAATGGGTTCAAGTTTGAGAATATTTCACATGATTTAGAAGATTCCACTAAATTTGACACCGCGAGAGTCTACGTGTAAGAAAATTTATAGTTTATGGGATAGTTGTAATTATCCAACATAATTTCTTTTTTCGTAATTTAACCATACATCAAGGGTGGTTGTAATTTACCCTTAGTACTATAATAATAATAAGGGCAAATTAGGGTCACCCCTGAGTTATGATCAAATTACAAAAAATCCCCCTACTGTTTGGGTAATTTCACCCATCAACTATGTATTATCATACGAAAAAATCCCTATGACGGTAAATATAGGGATGTTAATTATGTAAAATCGAACCGAAATTTCGGTATGCTAATATTTCATACCGTTCACCGAACTAAATATACTATATGGGCCGAATTACATAAATTTTATCTAAAAATATTTAAATTGAGGGGTGACTTTAATTATCCAAATAAATTGGGTTTTTCGTAATTCGGGCCCTAATAATAATTATTATTTATTGTTATTATAAAAACTCAGAGTCAATCTTTACAACATTGGTTTGAAAACTTACAGCCCTAGTCCCCCGTCTCTCTCTACTTCTGCCCCCACCCTTGTTTTTCGTCATGCTCCCGCCACCTTTCTCCTTCACCACCGCCGCCGCCGCTTTACCCTAGAAATCACTTTCGATTCAAATTCTAGGTTTCCGAACCCGCACTTATTCTCTACGATCAATCAATCTTCCTTCTATTAAATTTTAATTCGAATAAACCCGTCTTAAATACTTGTTCCGTTGGTAGTTTTAGGGATGGGTGGTGATGGGGGTAATGGTGGTGGTGGTGATCGCCTTGATGATCAGAGTGACGTCGTTGTTGTTGCCCCTCCAAAGTCTCCGTGGAAGACTTCTTCCACCGCTTACTCGGCTGTGAGGGCTGATTCCGACGCTTGGCCGGCGCTCTCAGACGTTCGTCACCGTACGAAGGATGATGTCAATGCTCAATCCAATTCCCCCAAGTTGCCTCTCCAGCCGTCGAAATTCGGGGCTGATGGTTGCGGTGCTCCTCCGGCGGCTCCTCCGCCGGTGGGTGCAGTTTATTCGTTTCTAATTTTTATTTGTTATTTTTTTTTATTTAATTTTGATTTATTTGTGAGTGCAGTTGTTTTTTTGTGTTTTTTTTTTTTCTATTGAGGGGTTGAAGTGGTTTGCCTTTTTCTATTTGCATGTTTATTGGCCTTGATGCATATTTATCATGATTAAACAAGTCGGGTTAATTGGAAATATAATGAAATTCTTTGAAACTGAAGAAACAAGTGCATGTAAAGATTTAAGTTTTATTGGTGAAGATTGGCATGTGTTGTATGGGAATGAAAACCGTTGTTCTGTAGGTTCGATGGTATATTCTTTAATCTGTATGTTTTTACTCTGATTATGATGATGATGACTGCAGTTATTGTATTGTGCCTTCATATGTATTGCACATACTATGTGGAAGTTGAGTGTACAGAGAAACATCCATTCTCGTGTATATATAAAAGAGAGAGATATATATATATATATATATATATATATATATATATATATATATATATATATATATATATATATATATATATATATATATATATAATGAGATGTTTCAGGTTCTTAGAGCTTGAATATATACCTAATTTCCCCGATTCTGAGAGAAGTTCCATACTTTTTGATTAGTGTTAGGCATGGTACACGAAATATCTATTTTGTGTTGTTAATTTACAGCACGGTTTTCAGGAAATAAGTTCTGTCTTTGATGGATCCTCTATGTCCGAAAGGAAGAAAAGGAAAAGAATGGATCGTAATTGGTTGAAAATGAGCTCATGGAATGAGTATTTCATTCTACATCCATTTCATCTTGGTATTCCTATATTTTAAGTTAGCTGGTCTTAATTGGGCTCGTTAGCTTCTAAAATCTGTTTGTTGCTTCTGTACCCGTATTCTGTACCTAGAAGCAGTAACATGCCGTGTAAAATATATCTCCCAAGATGGGGAACAATGTTGTCACCAAATTTCTGTTTCCTATGGTGTTGACATGCCTTATACATAGTAATTGAAACTGCTGCATTTAGATGAAATATCTCATCCCGTAGGAAGTGCAACATGTAGGCTGGAAATTACTGTTCATTGAAATTTTGCTAAATATGGATAACTTGTGATTCAATCTGTGTGGCTTACCTAACAGTTTTCTGCATTTCCAGGTCCCATGCGAGCAGCAGAAGTTCCATGAACGTGGTAACACCAAGTCCTTCCGTAGGCCTCACAATATGCATCAAAACAAAACTGGCCCCAAGCATGGCCCAAATGGTGTACCTCCATATCTTGTTCCTGTACACTGTTATCAACAACCCGGTACCCCGTATTTTCGACCTATGTTTCCCTTTAGGCCAGTGGCTGTCCCTGGATATAGTTATAAGGTTCCTCCTAGACCTTTTCTGAGGCCTGATGGTCAACTGGTGAATCCTGGTAGTGATTCTGCTCAAGCTTTTGTTCCGCCAGCAAATGGGGGTTTCCGACCTCCAGCACATGCTGATTCCAGTGCCCGTGATCCCAGATATACTGGAAGAAGGCCTGGTGCAGAAGGACAAAATGGCCAATTTAATTCTTCCTGGAATAATCAACGGCCAATTGCTTTTAACAACTTCCATATGCAACAAGATATAGGGCCAAGGCCTTTCATAAGCCCCCCTGCTTTTATTCCTAGTGGTTTTGTTGATGTGTCAAACTTCCAAGGTATTTGGATGAATTATATGTGATTATTATATGAAGAAACAATATCATTTCATTCCATTTGGTCCTAGTGGTTTTATTTCTTCCCTTTTCTTCTTCAAGAAAACATTAACATGGTAATCTATGAAACAGGTCCACCAGGAGCTATGCACTATCCACCTCCTCCTCCAGGCTATGTTAAAGTAACTTACCCACCGTTCTTGGTTCCACATCCTTTTAACCTCGGAGTACCTCCGCCAGTCTCGCCTACAACAGCCTTGAGAGCTAGAATTGTAAAGCAAATTGAATATTATTTCAGGTGAAAATTGATTCTCATGCCTTGCAATATCTGAACCATGGTGTAATTGGAATTACAGATAGATAAAGCCACCCCCCTTCCCCGAACCATGAAGATGGAGTTTTAGTCCCAATTCGAGCCTCTTTTACTATGTGAATGTGACTTGTTAAAGTCTGATGGAAAACTGATATCTATGAGTATAAGATCTTTCCATTCATCAGTTGGGAGTCTATGCAATAGTTTCATTTTAGCAGTATAAATAATTCTCAATTATTATTCTGAGCGATAACTCAAGCAGTTGGAGCATACTGATGTTTCTTTGGAATTGTTTGAATTTTCGCTGTACTTAGAAAACAATAATACATAGATGACAACTTTATGTCCAACTGTTTTTAGGTTATAGCATGTGATTAGTGAAACAACTTCATGTTCAAGTAATTGATGATAACTAATAGCTGAACCTTGCTACTTTGGCAGTGACAAGAATCTGCAGGGTGACCACTACTTGATTTCCTTGATGGACGACCAAGGCTGGGTTCCTATATCAATCATCGCTGGCTTTAAAATGGTATTACACTTTACATATATTTTTTATTGTTAGATTACTACTCAGGCGACTGAGAGATGGTAAATCGATGTTCTAGGAGGCAAAACCAAAATAACAAAACAACTTCTTTTTGCTCTCTTTGGTGTGGAGAGTGCAGGGTGGGTAGTCGTGATATTATATCTGCCATGTGTTTCTTTTCTCTTTATTTGAATTCGCTTCCCCATGATCATACTCTTTCGTGAGATTATCATGTTACTAAGTTTTTTCACTAAATTTTGAGTTTCAGATTCGAAGACTGAATGTGGAGATACCATTTATTCTAGATTCATTGCAGGTTTCAGAGACAATCGAAGTGCAGGTTTGACTATTTGCGTTTCTTGAGCATTCTCTATCATTTTTTTGTACTCATTCATTGTAATTAAAAAGGAAGTTCTCTCGTATGCTTACCATTTCTGATTGTGAATATCTTGCGAATAATATCTTCCTTGCCATGGTTTGGGTTTTCGATCTTTGTAGGGTGAGAAGGTGAGGAGACGCAACGAGTGGTCAAAATGGATTCCAGTTTCTCTGGTCAGCAAATCTTCATCTCACGTTCGAGATGCTGTGAACAATGATGATTCCAATGAAAATAAGAGGGACAACAAAGAAACAATGAAACTCCCCCCATCAAATGGAAGCTCTGTGGTTCCTACACTATCGAGTGCAGATATCGTAAAAGGTTCCATAAATTATGATACAGAGCAGAGCGAGGACAAAGTTCTGGCATGCGGTGAAGCACAAAAAGTTACTCTGGGAAATAGTAACTCAAGCATGGGGTTGGGATTTCAACCTGATGATGGGAATGATAGCACTAAACACTATGATGAATCAATTTTCCCAGCTGTTGCACAAGGAGCTGGTACTGTGACGTCTATCGTTCCTGTAAACCATGAAAGCAAAGAGATGCAGGTTTGTTCAGATCAGCATGTAAAGAATTTGGATGACTTGTCTAATGATTCTTCAAACATTATGCTTGATGAAGAACTGGAAGTGGAGCAGAAAAGGATAGAGAACGATCATCCTTCTAGCTTGGAAAGGTATTTTAGGTTGCTCTCTACCTATATCTGTCATTCTTAAGATTGTCTTTGGCTGTTCTTCTCTCACCTCTAAAATTACTTAAACGAGAAGTACATTTTCTACAATGTGAAAGACTGGTTACATGAAAAATGTTGGATATTCACTTGCTTTGTAACCGTTTGACAGTTAATTTTACTGAATTGAATGTCCTGACATTATTTTAGTAGATTATATCCTGATAGAATCCTAGTGTGAATATGGTCTACATCTTTTTGATGCATATCCCTCTTGAGTATGACTAGCAGAATAGCGAGCATGAAGTTCCACTGTCACATTCTGAACTAGTGGCCCCGTGGACGATATTTTCTTCTTTCCTTTTGATTCAAGTATGTGTAGCTCATATTTTGTGAAGTAAACAGATAACTTTTTCAGCGGTGCACTGGTATGGCTATTCAGCTGTTAAGCAGATCAACATGTGCTGCTAAAACTTTAAAAGTATATCAATTTTCTAGTTTTGACATTGGATTTCTGTAGCTTTACTTTAAAAGTTTATCAATGCAAAGTGTCAAAGGATCATGTTGATTGTGGAGTCCATTAAAATTATTTGAATGTGCTATGGAAGTATTAAAAGAGATTCTCCTAATTTATTTCCGTCATTGAATCTTTTGTCATTGACAGTAGCATTTGAAAATCTCATAGTACCTGAAAAAGTAGCCTGGTACTTCAAGAAATAATTTCTTTGAAACTATTAGCTCTCACCATACCAGCAGTACTCTTTGCTGTACATATCTCTATGTACATGGCGCTTGTGTTCTCTATGTTGATTATTTATTTTTGCCATTGCATCTACTATTTTTCCTAGATGTATTTTGACTGATCTTACCAAATTTCTGGTCATTCTAGGGTTGATGACGAAAATGAGGAAATGTTGAGTAAAGATGAATCGGTGAAGAGGCTTGTTATTGTCACTCAGGTGAGGCATGGTGGCTTCTTTTAGAGATGCTGCTAGCTTACACATTTAAATTGTTCTCTTTTACATGGTGGCTTGTAAATGGTTTTCGACACAAAAATACTCAGGAACAATCTGGAATTTATATTCAATCTAGGTTGCTTCTGTAATTTATATTCCTTAGTTCCCTTGGTTTTGCTTGGCCTATGGAAGATCGCAAGGCTACAATCTTCGACTTTGGTATTGGAGCCTCTCCCACACTCCCACAGTGGGGTTTGATGACAGTTCAGTGTTCGAATCCCTTTGGGTGTGGGTGTTGTAAGGCCACGTTATAAGGCCATTAAAATAAAGACTTTGGCATTTTCTGTAATAGTTTCTTCGTTCTCAAATCCGGGACCTTTAAGGCTTCCAGTGACGATAATGTCAATTTTTACCATCTTATACCTAAACCATCTTATATACCTACACCATAAGCATGATTTCTTTCTGAATCATTATACAGAAACTTCTGCTGAAAAAAATAGTATTTCTTTTAGTTATTTGTTTCATCTTTATGTCAACTTTCTTTTGTTAGGAAAAGGGTTCTACTAAATATGTTTTATGTCAATGTAGGATATTTTCGGCGTAAGAGTTCAATGTTGATTTTTACGCACATTATCGTTTTGATTTTTACAATCAATGACTAACTATCCTGTCTGCTACAGAATAGTGGATTGAACGGATGTCCCGGTGAGGAATCAAAGACAGTATCCAGAGATCTTGCTTCTGCTCTAAACGACAGCGTCCATATTTATGAACAGGTTGGCATATTGATTTCATCGTACCCAAAAGTAAAAATAGTTGTTTTTAACCATCTTTCAACATGCAGGAATTACACTCAAAACAATCAGAAAGCAGGAACAAAAACTCCAGATATTCTGCTAATGTTGCTGTCGCAGAGAATTTGAGATCTGCTCATTCTAATGGAAGAAGCAGCTGCGGAGGATCTGGAAATTCTAATTCTGATAGGAAGCCAAATAAAGGCAGCTCGAAGCTGAATTCCATTCATAAGCAGGGGCTATTCTGTGGCAATATCAGAGCTCATTTAAGTGACCGAAATTCTCTTGGAGCATTATCTGAGAGTCCACCAAGTGATGCAGTTGGTTTTTCCTTTGGTTCTAAATCTCCAGATAGTGACGGGTGAATATCACAAAATTATCTTCCTTCTATTAACATCTTGAATAACTATTTTGTCTCCAGTCCGGGGGAAGCCTTAGGATATCTATCAGGTCATATATTCTCTGGCTTCATTAAAACCCAAATTGGAATTTTTGCAGGTCTGGGGATTCAGAGTTTAGTTCGTCACCTCACCTACCATCTGACCATCTAATTCATAAACTTCTAGATAATAATGGTTTCGAACAGCAACTGTAAGTAGATTTTTTTGAGGCAAGTTTGAGCTACAAGTGCAAGTTTGCATGTGTAGAAATGGAAGGACGTAATGATTAGCTCTTATGCTTGAATTCACATTTGATTCAGGGTTGAGCATGTTTTGCTAACACTTCTAAATTTTTAAATGGCTGATAGATTTCACTGTTACCAGGTACGAGAAGTTTGAAGAATGCTGCCTCAGTGAACGAGAGAAGCTGGGCATTGGTTGCAGTGAGGTATAAATTGGGAATTTACTGATGAAAATTATTATTTGAACCGTGGTAAAACGTTATAGTTCATGAGTGGATGGTTCCTCTCACAGTTCTAATCAATAGACGTGCTCATTATCTGATAATTAAAATGCTGATTTGCCCCGACTAGGCATGCATTATGTTCTAATTTTGTTGATGACTATGTATGCACCTCTCTTGCAGGAGATGAATATATTGTACGGTTTTTGGTGTTATTACTTAAGGGACGTGTTTACCCCTTCCATGTATGATAAATTCCAGAAGTTGGCTGTAGAAGATGCTGCAGCCAGTTACTATTATGGACAAGAGTGCCTATTCTGGTTTTACAGGTGGGATTCATATATATTTGGTTTTCAATACCTAAATGCTCGTATGCACTTGAATTTTCTTATTTTCCCATCATTTCTCTTTCAGCACAACCGTCTATTCCCACACTGTTGTTTTCCAGTTCTGATTGTGTATCCTTTGTTTTCTTATTTCAGATATAGCTTGGAGAGGAATTTCAGAGAGGACGTCTACGAGGACTTTGAACAGCTGGCACTTGACTTCTATAAGAAAGGAGACCTTTATGGCCTGCAAAAGTATTGGTAATTTTCTAAATACTTTGAACTCATTTTTTCGTTCTCTTTCTTTAAAATGATCTTCAATTGCGACTGATGTAGTTGAAGCTTGAGAAATCATATGTTACCATTGAGCTTACTTCGATAATTATACATAATATGGATGAATTCACTTGTGAAATATTGACTGACAAATATTTAGTTCCAGTAAATCTTGTAATATGATTTTGGAGGTTAGCGTACATGCGATTTCTGAGAATTGTAAATCCTATGACTCTTGCTTTTGCAAGAAACATCGTACTCTAAAATATGGTTTTCACAAGACTATGTTCTTGCATGGCCAGGTCATTTCACCATCATAGGGAGCTCAATGACAAGAGTGGAGTACAACTGAAAAGGCATGCAGAACTTGATAGGCTGCTCAAGGAAGAATACCGTTGTTCTGACGACTTCATCAGGGTCGTTATCTAAGAATGCTACCGCAAAAGAGGATCAACATTAGGCCTTTTTTTGGCCGATGACTGTGTACCTTGAGAGTTTCAAATCAACTAACGGAAAACTCGATTTTTGCGGGAAAAAGGAGAATTATAACATTTTGTAGAGCTTTAACTGAAGCTGGTGGCCCCATTTTCTGGTTTGGGTTTTTTTTGAGATTCTTTTTTGTATATAAACTATCTTCACGGGGTAGTTATTGTCGCCCCATCAAGCCGATAGAATGTTCGATACCTGAAAGAGTTCTTTTTTAAGGTCTCTGAATGTGTATCTTTTTTGGAAGGTGTTCAATGGCTTGATGGGGCATTTTCTTTTCTCTATTAGGTTCCTAACTTGTATATAATGCAAGTATCAAAAAACCCAAAAAAAAAAAAAAAAAAAAAAAAAGAAAAAAAAATTGTAGGAAGACATCCAGATGTTTTATAACATTTAATTTCTGGAAATTAGACGGAAAGTTTGAAAGCCGGATAGGCCTTTGTGTTTTTGTTTTATATATAAGTTTTATCGTATTTTTTTCCCTTCTTTTTGCCTCGGTTGAGTAGAATTTATGTTTGCTGATACGAAGGGGTTCGATTCCATAGGGATTTTCATCGCAAGAGAAGTGCAGGAGGGATTTTGATGAATTAGAATGAGTCCTACATTCTTTTTCCTTGGTAGTTTCATATGGATAAATATTAGGTAAATTCTACTTTACCCCTTGTACTCTGCCTAAGAACCACTTTACCCCATCGTACTCTTAATTTTGTCGATTTACCCCCTTGTACTTGTACAATTTCCCAATACAACCTTCTTCGCCAACTTTTTTCGATTTTGACTCTGACGCCATTTGGTCAAGAGTCAAAATATTGACGTAAATATTGAATTTTTTCGATTTTGACTCTCGAGATTAGAAAATAGAAAGTTTCGCACATTCATATATATTTTTCTTTGCACTGGGTGGAATCGATCAATTTTTGGGTCTTGATTTTTACTAAGTTAGGGATTCAATTTGGGGATATCTTGGAAGGGGAAGTGGTGGGAGAAGAAGAAATGACAATATTGACGGTTGAGAAACGACGCGTTATAGGCAGTGGCAATTTTGTAATTTACAGAGTTGACCAAACGGCGTCAGAGTCAAAATTGACAAAAGTTTAAGGAAATGTCTGTATTAGGAAATTGTACAAGTACAAGGGAGTAAATCGATAAAATTGAGAGTACAAGGGGGTAAAGTGGTTCTCAGGCAGAGTACGAGAGGGTAAAGTGAAATTTACCCTAAATATTATGTCCATAGAGATCCGATTCAACACCAAAATGCGGGAAAATGAAAAACCAGGAGTGGGTAGTAAAGTGAAGAGAGTAAAGATGAAAATAAAATATCAGATTCGTCAATCCAATCACGACCTAGTTAGTTGCCCGATTCGATTTTAACCCATTTGAACTGGAAAGAACTTAAACAGAAAAGCTACACATAACAAAAATTCTATGAAGAAGATGCAAAACCTTTTATCTACGGCTCAATTTTCAATGACACCATTTTTCTCGTCCAGAATCCACATGTTGTGGCAGCAACAGCATAAAGCACAATCACCGGAACTCTAAATTTGACCAAGGTTTAGGAGAGAAGCGGAGGTTAAATACCTCCAATGGATGGTGAGGATCAACGCAAAGAGAATCATCAGGATTTTATATGAACAAATATCCGTCACTCGTTTTGGTGATTCGTTTGTGTACGTACATGACTATAATCGACACTCTCTAACCTCTGACTTTCACATCCTATTTATTTACTCGTAGGTCTTTTTTTTTGTGTGTTAATTCTCGATATATTTTTGTATTTTGTTGTTCGGTATACTCTGATTCTGTTTGTTTGTATGGTTTCCATTACTGGTTGCACCAACACTTTTGGACCGTGACATACATTTTATTTGAATGAAAAATGTTAAAATTGAAAAATGACGTATCATCATATTTTTTATACTATAATTGGCAATAATCATATATTGACCGATGCATGTAAGTTTCTTCATTGACACATATATTCTAAGGAAAATATTAATTATTGCACATATATATATATATATATATATATATATATATATATATTAGACTGTATTAAGGGTAGGGTTTTGCATTGCAGATAATACATACACCCCGTTAAAATAATTGATTAATGGACAATCTACTTGCACTGTTGCACATGTAATTAAATAATACTTATTATATGCTACACGGTGTATAAATCATATATACATTGACCATAAATATATAGGCAAAAAAATCATTTAGATTTAGGTAAAATATTATGTCATATCTCTCAAATTATGTTATTGTCTACCTAACCACTTCACATATACACTGATACAAATCCCTCCAAACTTTCAATATTCACTTCACCAAAATAACTATGGGGTTTCTTATGTTAGAAAACTAACTACTTATAACTAATTAAACACATATATATAAACATAAGGTGATTTATACTTTATATTGGGCACCAGGTCCAGGTCCGCTACCTTAACGGGCCGTTGAGTTACCATGATTTACATCCTCCATCAATCCTTGTCGGGCCAAGGGATGGGGGCCCCAGGGCCCTTGGGGCGAGGGATTCGCCTTTTTGGTGCAAGGTGGATTTATACTTGGTGGATTTGAACCGTAAATCTACACATAATCACACAACTTATTTGATGTGTGATTAGTGGGTAGTTTTTTAATCAAATCTACGGTTCAAATACACTCGATGTAAATAACCAGGTGTAGAATCTAATATCCAGTCTGAATGTATGTGAATTGTGAAATATGTATGATATTATTGAGAAAGATGATAACCAAAGAAAGTTGAAGGCAAAGGATTTCAACATTCTTGATTATATTGTCATGAAGCTTATTGTATTATTTCTTCACAAAAAAACATTCAGCAAGGTTCAAAAACATCAAAACTAAACACATTCCCAACTAAACATGCAACTGAAAAAACCAATTAACCGAAAAAAAAAAAAAAAAAAAAGGATCTTTCTCACAAAGTCTTAACCCTAAAAAAAAACTATAAGCAAAAAATAAAACTCAAATATATATATAGATATATAGATATATATGAAAAAGGTGCATCTTTTTGTCATACTAGTGATTCGAAGCCTCACCGTCATCGTCGTTGTCCTGTTCTTTAGGAGGCTCGTTGAGATCGAAATCCAGCACAACTTTCGGTTTCTTGCTGCTTGCTTCGGCTAATATTGCTGCGTGGGAAGCCATGGTAGAATGTCGTCTCTTGTGACCCCCCAAAGCCTGCCCGCTCGTGAACACCATCTTACAAATCTCGCACACGTACGCGCTTTCGTCCACCTGGTCCACTTTCGCACCGTCTTTCTTGATTCTAGCCCCTCCTCCGTCTTCGCCTTCCAAACAGTCGTCCGTATTCGTAACCGAGAATTTAAACTTGTTGTGGCTCGACCTATGCCCGCCGAGCGCTTGATGCGACTTGAACGTCTTGTGGCAAACGTCGCAAGTGTACTTTTGCGGGCTCGAACTAATTAATTTCCCGTTTTCTTGATTTGTTATCGGGTTGCGTTTGTTATCTCCGGCTGGTGGCGGCGGCAGTGGCGGTGATGGCTGCGGTGGTGGTGGTGGTGGTGCTGCCATCATTAGGTCGTTCATGGCGATCAAGCAACTCTCGTCATCGGAATCGATGACATCGGGCTGCAGCATTAGTGGAGGAGGAACCTTCTCTTTGCCTTTGCCCTTGCAAGATTCGATCTTCGGCGAGGCGACGAATGCAGCTCGACGATTATCGAAATCGTCGTCGTCGTCCCTTTCGCGAATCTTCAGCTTCTTGGAAGAAGGGCGGTCATCCGATTCGGGCCCGCTGATGAAATCGCGGTCCCGTTTTAGGGTTTTCGAGATGAAATGATTTTCTTGGTGATTGTTCAAATTGTAGGGTTCGATCAAATTATTATTAGGGGTTGAAGAGCTGCTGGTGGATTCCTCAACTTCTCCGAAACTCATCTTCACCAGTTGATGGGCTAGGGCTAGATCCTTGTCATCGGCGGCGGCGGCGGCGGGGCGGATCGGGCCGCGGTTTCGCTTGGCGGAGGTGGGCCAGCTCCTCAAACTCTCGGCCATGTCGACTACTGGCCTCGGGGCGGAGGGTCCAGCCGCGTGGGGACCTGGATCGGAGTTGTGGCTGTCCGGTGAGTGCTCGTCGGAGTTGATTCTCCGGCGATGGGGCGGCGGCGGCGTCGGCAGCGGTGGAGCCATGCCCCTCCACAGCCTGTCGGGGTGGCATCTCATGTGGCCGAAGAGGGATTTCTGCGACCGGAAAGACCTGTTGCACAGCCCGCATGGGTGCCGCGCCGCCGCCGGCGGCGGCGAGCTGGAGGAGGAGCAGCCGTCAGAGTGCTTGTTCTTCAGCTTCTTGGCGGCGGAGAGATCTTTGTTGGCCTGGACATGGGCGCTGCTCATGTGTCCTCCCAAAGCCTTCCCGGAGCTGAAAATCCGGCCGCACTCCCTGCAGCAGCGGCTCCTTGTTTCTTCGTCCGCCGCCGCCGCCGCCGGAGATTCCGTCTTGACCTGGTCCTCCACCTCCGGCATCTTGGGAAGCCTGAGCTTCACTAAAATCTTCCCACACGGTTCGCCAGCTTCCTTGGAATCCTCTTTCTTATCCATTAATTCTTCTCCAACACAGAAATCAAGAAAACCAACAACAACAACAAGAAAACCCTAAAAAAAAAAAAAAGACAGAAAGGCAAGAGCAGTAACTAAAAATACCAGAAATAAATATGGAAATTTATTCAGATTTATTTTTATCCCAATGGAAAATAATAATAATAATTAATTAATTAAAAAAAAAACAGACCTCTGCTAAAATTTCCAGCCTCAAAGAAAAAGAAAATCAAAATACAGACCACCGGAGATAACGGCGGAGCCAAGAAGAAGAAGGTAAATCTTATATTCCCGGATTTTAATAATCAAATCTCTCACACACACACGTGTGTGTGCGTGTATACGTGTGAGGAAGAAAGAATTAATTACCAGATGCGAAGCTGAAGAAGAAGAAGAAGCGAATGTGCATGGGGTTTCTTAGCTGCCTAGAATTCTTCTGTTATTGTCTTTCTATATTCTTCTTTAAGAAGACTCTTTTTTTTTCTTTTTTTTTTTTAATTAATTAATTATTATATTAGTGGGGGGTGGGGTGGGGTGGTAAAGAAGTTACCATGGTTGAGTTAGGTTGTTGCCTTGTGTTGGTGTTGGTATAGGGAAAGTCTTGTGTAGTGATTAATACTCCTAAAGATCTCTCTAATTACTTTCTCTAATTATTATGATTTTCTATGCATTTATTTTTTATTTTCTCAACCGATTAATACTCTAACAATATACTATACAAATTTAAATAGGACTTTTATTTCATTGGTTGATTGTATTTTTTGTATTTTTTATGAAATATTTTTTTAATTCCCACCACAATTGTGGAACTGGATTATAATTACATTAAAAAAATCTGCAACAAAAAAATTGAAAGATAGTTTTAATTCCTAGATTTGGGGAATATTTCATATATAAATTAGATTATGCAAACATTTTCAGTAATTATCAATTATAATCTCTAAATATATTATGAACACATGTGACATTAATCTCCATATATAATTTATATTTACTTCTTAATTTTTTGACTTAAGACCATGCGTTCTTGTATATATAATTTGAAACGAAAAAGTGTAAATTGTTTTAGATATTTGGAATTGCAAAAATAGTGTAAATCATTTTGGTTTCAAATTATTATTATTTAAAAATTTCGTGAAGCATTTATTATATTTTTCTCAGTTCCGCTATCACAAATCTTAATTCATTGCGAGATGTGAAACGATTAATGGAGGGGCGTTTTAGTCACTCTATTAGGTTGTTCTCGGAATCCATACGCATTTATTAGTTTTCTTAATACGTACACTATTCCAAAACGACAATATGAAATGAAAAAAAGGGAGTAGTATTTATTCGCATACTATTTATATATATTGTAGCGTAAAATTGTGGAGTATAATATCTTTGTGTAGGTATGTAAATTGAAACGGAGTTTTCGAGTTCCGTCAATTCTTAGTCAAATATTTTCAATTATGGAAAAATATTTATCATTTTGACTTCCGAAAGTTCGGATTCTTTATTTATTTTTTTTCAATTTTTTTAAGGGAATTGGAATACATATTAGGAGGTTCCGGTTTCCAATTCAGTTTAAATTTTCAAAACTCAATTTTATTTTCGAAATTTACACTTATAAAATCAATATTATTATGAAACTAATATTGTAGGTGACTAAAAATTACATTAACATGTGACATTATTTAAATTTACTTCTTATGTAAGACCATACATTTTTTTTAGTTTGAAACGATGGGATTTAAATTATTTTTTAGATTTGTATTTTTTGTCTTGTAGTGAGAAATGATACATATATATAAAATCCCCTTACCTAATATTCCACCCAAATATTATTTCATAATTTCAAATCTGCCCTTAATTGTCCAATATACTCTTTCAAAACCCTAATTATGTTTTACGCCGATTTTTTTCTTTCTTTTTCTCTTTTTATCTCTTCCCACTCTCATCTATTTCTCTCTCTCTCTTTTCCTTCTCTACATGATCTGATCTGAGTGTTTGGTGGCGGTCCGACTATGGGGCAATGGTAGAAGGCGGCGCCGAGGCGGCGCGAGCGCACGTTCGTCTATTTCTAAGATTTACTCTTTATTTATGGTTTTGACTTTCTGGAGTAGTGTTTGTTGCCGTTGTTTCTGGTTTGAGATTTGAAAATTGGAGATCGGGAATCTAATTGCAGGTAGAAATCTCAGAGTTGTACGGGGACTGCAAAATACGCACTCAAGGTAGTTTTGTTTCATTTTACTTATTTGTTATGGATTTTTAATCTAATTTTGCTGCATATTTTTTGATATAGGTGGCTTTGTTTTGGTGATTTTGACCGTAGTACATGGTTCTGTTTTGATTATTTGTATAAAAAACTATTAGAATATGGAAGTGGGATGGTGATGGTGTGGTGTGGCAACGACGTGGTGACGATGAAGAGCATGTCTAAGGTTTTTTTGTGGATTGTGGCGGAAGACGGCGCAAAAAAAGAAATTCGCGTAGGCGGGGCCCTTAATCGACTACGTGTGGTTTAATCGACTATGTGCAATAGTCGATTAAGGCTTAATCGACTATGTTCAGTAATCGATTAAGGTTAACCGACTCCAGTTGTTAATTTATTTTTTTTGGTTTTTTGTTTAATGGTTCCAATGTATAAATCAATTACAATGTTTGTATATATTTTTTTTAAGGGTAAATCACAAAAAGACCCATGACAAGGGCACTTAATTAAAAGAGGGACATCCAACTTTTTTATCTTTCAAATAAATCCAACTCATTCAAACTTATTTGCAAATAAGGAAAATCATTTTATATATACCAAAATGACCCGCAATTCATTGAAACCCAATTCAACTTCAATTTCATGATTTACACCCCAATTTAGTTCAATTTCATCAATTAAACCAATTTTAACCCTAATTTTAATTTTGACCACAATTTTGACCCGCCACCACCGGAGAACGCCGGTCTCCGACGTTGACTTTCTTTTCTTTTTTTTTTTTTTTTTGAAAACTTTTTTTTCCTTAAATTTTTTTTCCAGCCGGTCCGGGTCTCCGACGTTGACTTTTTTTTTATAATTTTTTTTTCTTAAAATTTTTTTTATAATTAATATTACTGTAGTTGTTGCTAAATTACTATCTCCGACAGTTAAATAACTGTCGGAGATAGTAATTTAAATGTTAATTGACTTTTTTATTCTTAAAAAAAATATTTTTAATTAATATTAATGTATTCGTTGCTAAATTATTGTCTCCGGTAGTTATTTAACTGTCGGAGACAGTAATTTAACTGTTAATTGACTTTTTTTTAAATATTTTAATTAATATTACTGTATTTGTTGCTAAATTACTGTCTGCAGCAGTTATTTAACTGTCGGAGACAGTAATTTAACTGTTAATTAACTTTTTTTTAATTTTCTTTCTTAAAAAAAATATTTTAATTAATATTACTGCCTTGGCTGCTAAATTATTGTATCCAACAGTAATTTAACTGTCTTAGACAATAATATTAATAATATTACTGTTCGGAAAAATAATAATCCTAATATTACTGTTTGAGACAGTAATATTACTGTCTGAGACAGTAATTTAGTAGCCAAGACAGTAATATTAATTAAAATATTTTTTTCTAAGGAAAAAAAATAAATAAAAAATAAAAAATAGGTCAACGCCGGAGACCGGCGGTAAACGGTGGTTGACCGGCCAGAAAAAAATTTCACGAAAAAAAAATTTCAAAAAAAAAAAAAAAAAAAACTCCGGAGACTGGCGGTCAACGCCGTAATCTGGCTGGAAAAAAAAAATAGGTGGTTAATGTGATATATTTGTTTAAATTCGGGGTCAATGTGTAATATTAAGGAAGTTAAAGCATAATGGATGGAATTGATAAGAATTATATTATGGAGGGTACTTTAGGCTAAATACATGGGGATGGGTTTAATTGAGAGAATTTTTTTTTTTGGACAAAATGCATTTTAGTCCCATGTGATGGGCCTTTTTGCCATTCGCCATTTTTTTATATATACTTGATTTTGCATTTTTTTTATAATTGTGATTTGTTATTTGTAATAGTTAAACTTTTAATCGACTATGCATTAATAAACCTGATAGTGAAAAAAAATTAAAAAAACCAAAAAAAAATTAAAAACAAAATTAGAAAAAAATAAAAATTAAAGAATTTCCTTAATCGACTATGCTTCATAGTCGATTAATAAAACTGATTCGGAAAAAAACTACAAAAAAAAAAAAAAAAAAAAAAGAATTTGATTCAGAAAAAATACTAAAAGAAAAAAGGAAAAAAAAAAAAAAAAAACTGATGAGCGTGGAGCAGGCCGGTGATGTGGAGTGGGCGGGGTCAAAGTTGGAAATAAAGGTGATTGGAAATGGGTGAGTGTTTTTCTCAAATAGAAAAAAATAATTTGGGCATCTTCCCATTAAACTAAGTAATGAAGGGGCTTTCTCAATGAGAAAAAAAAAATGTATAGAATAACTCCTAAATATACGATTACATTACATTTATGATAAATCTATAAAGGCTTACAATATATAATTCAATTTTCTTTTACTTTTTATTGAAGTTGACAATATCACACTAAATCCAATTCCTCACTTTCTTTATTATGGTAAACTTTCGTGTATGTAATATTGTTGCTCTAAGAACTTCAATTAGAGAAATGGGTTTTATAGTGTCATTTCTCCATTCTCTTTTTCACTGGTTAAGATCTTCTAAATTATTTATTCGTCAGTCGACATCTCTAAAGTTGATTTATTATCTTCAAAACAATTTAAAATTTATTCAACATCCATTGACCATTTATTAGATTTTGCAATTCTTGGGATAATTTTATCATCCAAGTATTTATCCATAATTTTGTTTTAAATTTATCAAAAATAACAATAATAAATCCAATTTCATAAATCAATAAAAAATATTAATTTATAAATAATTTAATTTCTCACTTTATTAATAAAAGAGTAAATTGCAAATACTACCCCTGTGTTATCTCGAAATAGCAAAAACCTCCCTGTGATAAATAAACTAGCAAAAACCCCCTGTGAAATTTAGTCAAAGGCAGAATCCCCCCTAGCTGATTTTTTAGACTTGAAATGACAAAATTGTCCCTCAAAATGTATTTATATATATACATATTATATGTATATTTATTATTTTTAATTTATTTGTTTAGAAATTAAAAAAAATAGTAAACAACTAAATTGATTATTTTTTAAATAAAATAATTAAAATATTTATAAAATATAAGAATTTATTAATTGCAAGACTCCAGGGGTATTTGTGTCTTTTTATATCAAGTCAACCCTCAAATAGTTCCATAGGGGGGTTTTTGCTATTTAAATAATTTCACAGGGGGGTTTTTGCTAGTTTATTTATCACAGGGGGGTTTTTGCTATTTCGAGATTACACAGGGGTAGTTTTTGCAGTTTACTCTTAATAAAATTATGTCGGTTCCAACTGTACTAATTTATAGAGGTTCAATTGTATTCACACACTACAATAAACATATCGCATTGAGACCAAATCATTGAGTTGCAGTTAGGTGCAAACACCAGAATCACTACTTCCAGCATAAAAGCAGAGCAAAAATCCCCAAAATCGTAATCCAGATTGCACAACATAATCCTAACCAAAATCCAACTCCAAAATCCGATCTTTAATTCCAAAAACAAGAAACCCTAAAGCAAAAGTTCTTCACTGGGCTCCAACAATTACAGTCATTGCATCAGGCTGTAAGAGTTGGCTAAATTACCTGCATTCAACTCGAAAAAACGAGGCAACCTTTTTTCTTGGCAATCAGAAACCTGGCTTTACGAACGAACACCGATGAATCATAGAGAACTTTAGTAAAAGAATAGATTATTTTCACTTTTCCAGCACAACTCAACAAGCCCAAAAGTAGGTCAATTTTAACAAGAAATGAACCGAGAGAGGTACTTATTTATAGCCAATATTGTACAGAAACTACGAACAATTATAAAACCTAAATATGTCCAATCATAATGGCGAAACAAAGTTATTTCCGATGCTTTTAAGAGAACTTGCTTCAGAAAACTTAAAATATCAAATAGCTACGAATATACGTAAAAAAAACCCGAAACAATACGAAAGCAAATATAAATCAGAAAAAAACTTGACAGAACAGAACATCAAATGGGAAGAAAGTTTTTAACATAACAAAAAAAAAGTTATCAAGTGGCTGCGAATTAAAGAAAGTTACATGATTGAAAGACCCTTTCAAATCCCGGAAAGATGGAAAAAACCCATAGTTCTCAATCCTTTCAAAAGGTTGCACCATTCAAACCAAAACTCAGACATCGTCTTAGAAAAAAGAAATTTCAAGAGATGGAAGGTTTAAAATGGAAGTTAAGTACATCTTTTAGAATCTAATCTTTGGGCAAACGGTAACTTTTTTGGTAAAACGAAGACTTCATTTGCATGTGCGCACGAACTTCAGAAGGGTCACCACAGTCCAAAAATAAAAGTTTGATGCACTTTTCAAGAATCTGCACAACGAATACATACGATATAAAAATATTAATTTTGAAAAACAAAACTAATTCCCACCCCGTATGCAATATTGATAAAGGAGCAAACTAAATATTAAAATCATGAACTTCAAAAATGGGATTAATTAAATTGTACCACTGACATATATCAATAGAAATCTCTTAACCTCATCGCTTCCGCAAAATGCATGGAGGCTTCAGGTCTACTTAAATAGTCCGTATTTCTTATAAAGACTAAATTTTCTTATCATTTCGAAACAGAAAGAATGTAATATTCACTCGATTACTATAACCTCAAGTTCTACTTAGTATATACATAATCATTGCACTCGTTACGATTTTTGGCAGGGGGCACATATAACGTCATATTAATGTTTGAACAAATTCGTCTCAAATATTCATTTTGAGCCAAGAATCCTACCAAAGGCACCACCTTTTGATGATCAAACTATTTCCTAATTAGCTACACGCGAACATGCTTTCGAATCTATTACGACTAGTTGTATGTTGTCATATGGTGAAAAAATCATTTTGCAATGTAGCTTTTCACCATACCCCAACAAACACCCACTAAAACTCAACCTAACGTACAAGAGAAGTTCTTATTAATTTTAATACTAGCAACAGAAATCAATGTACCTCCGATTTACCTAACGACCGCGGCCCATGTAGGGTGCACCACCACCCCGAGGCGGTCTAACACCACCGCGCCCCATCTGTGGCTGTCCACCATAACCACCCTGCATCCCAGGCTGACCGCCATACCCGCCACCACCCTGACCACCGTAAGCCGGATTATTCATCATCGGATGATTCGCACCGCCCCCCATCCCTCCAAGAAAATTCCCGATACCCAAACCAGCCCCCTGACTGGCCAACAGAGCCGCCACAGCCTGCCCTATAGCCGCAGGTGCAACCGCCGGATTAAAACCCATCGGAGGCATAGCCGAACCACCACCGCTCGGTGCCATCAAATGTCCACCCGTATGCCCCACCCCTTCGCTACTCCCCGAATACCTCCCCTTCTTAGCAGTATGACCGTAATACCCTTGGTTTCCGCCCTCTTGGTGCTGTTGATTCGGCTGACTCTGCTGCTGGTTGAAGAAGCCTTTACTGTGCTTAGGTCCATCGACTGCCTTTTGGCAGTGCAGCATTTGACCCTCGAAGTTCTTGTGCGGCTCCTCTAACGCCTTCGAGGCACTCTTTGCACTCTTGTACACGAACAAACAGAACCCTCTCGGTTTCCCCGTCTGTTTATCCAAACCCAACGGCCCTTCCTCAATCTCCCCAAACTTCGCGAAGAACTCCATAAGCTTCTTCGGATCGAGTTCCGCGGAGACATTGCTCACGTATATCTTCCTCTGCGTGTACTCCGACAGAGGCGGTGTCGAAGCGGTGCCTGCAGCAGCAGCAACGGCAGGGGAAGCAGTGCGAACCGGCCCTGCGGACGCCAGCTGCGACGACGTCATTCGACCCTCGATCAACTTCTGAGGCTGCTTCAACGCGCGCCTCGCCCCAACGCGGTGCTTGAAGAGAATGAAGCCGTAGCCCTTTGATTTGCCGGAGATTTTGTCCTTGACCACTTTGCAGTCCTCGATTTCGCCGTACTTGCCGAACACCGATGTGATCGTATCTGTGCTTGCCTCCCAGCCGAGCCCGTGGACGAAAATCTTGCGGTGGGAAGGATCTGCGTCGGCCAATTTGTGCACGTTTTCGGCTATGTCCGGGTGCTTTGCTAGTGCCTCTTTGATTATGAGTGTTAGCTGGTCTTTCGAGAAGGGTTCTAGAAGCTTCTCCACGGGTTCTTCTTCGACCTCCTCCTCGTCTTCTTCATCTTCGTCTTCCTCCTCATCTTCATCTTCCTCTTCATCTTCGTCTCCATTCACAGAAGCGGCTTTATCGGTGGTTTCACTCTGTTGTTCGTTTTTTATTGAATCGGCTAAAACGGCGTCGTTTTTTATTTCTTCTTCTACTCCATCTCCGCCTTCCTCCTCTTCCTCTGCGTCGCCGATTACTTCGTCTTCTACTCTGGGTTCTTCTTCTTCTACGTCGGGGACTACTTCGTCTTCGGCGGCGGGTTCTTCAGCTACGGCGGCGACTAATTTATTCTCAATTAGGGGTTTTTCTTCTAGAATTTCTGGGGTTTTTTCAGGCTGTGGTTTTTCGGGCTCGGGCTCGGATTGAATGGGCTGAACGGGTTCGGCCACTGGAGGAGTTGCGGCAGCGAGAGATTTTCGCTTTCTTGCCATGGTGATTGGGAGAAGAATAGATGGGTAGGGTTTTAGGGTTCGAGGTTCTTGACGGACTCGGTGTAGTTCAGGCTAGGGTTTCAAGAGAGAGAGAGAGAGACCAAAGCCAATTTGAGAGGATGATCTTTTTCATTAACCAAATTCGGTTTTCACCCCCGAAAATACACCAATTTAACATTTTGCCCCCAGAGGTCTAGCCTCCACATTTTATTATTTGAAATACTATTTTCACACACTAATTTAAGACTAATTTCACTTACCTCCACATAATTACGCGTATTCTTCATTTACATCCTTCATTTACCCCCATATATAATCACATGTTCAATAGGCTATTAATTGCCAATTTTCTATATAGGGTTTCTTTTTTCAATTTTGAAACTTTTTCTCCCCACCTAAATTTTGACGATCGGGTTTTTAGTCAGGCAATTTTAACTTTGCTTTAAAAAAAAATTAATCTTGATTATTGATCTTAGACGAACATAATGAGAAAGACTGGAAGAGGCAAAATCACTCCTCCTCCATACAGTCATTAGAGATAAGTGTAATATATCTGGTCAAAGCGGCGGTTCACATGTTGAATAGTCAGACACGTATATATTCTCCATATGCAATCAATAAAGACAAGTGTAATATATCGGGTCGAAGCGGTGGTTCACATATTAAATAACCGTCACATATATACACAAACCAATTCCACTTACGAGTTATGACTCGTTGATTAAGTTAACCAACATCGACCGCGATCCGATCCCAACCCGGGTCATAGCAAATTATTTTTATCAATAAATAAATATTCGTTTTAAAAGAATATGCATATTTATTTTTTCAAATCATTTTCTTCTTTTTTTTTGTTTTTCATCAATAAATTAATCATTGAATAGACCACAAGTTGTAGTCATTTGTAATTAAATTTCAAATGGGCTGGGCTCTGTCCTTTCCCTGATGGCATTTTTCAGACAAATATTTATTTATTTAATTTCCGCACGAAACGGAAAGGAAAAAATCTAAGAAAATCAGACAAGTCACGAAAATGGTCATTTGTCTCTTTAACCTGAAAAAGAAAACCCACAACGCACACGTGGATCCCCCCTCAAACAAACACACACACACACACACCGAAGAGGGTTCCTAATTTTTTTCTCTCTCCTCCCCCCACCATTTTCGTTTCAGATCATCAGATCCTCTTCCGCTGCCAGGTAATTAATTTTTTTTATTTCTTTGTTTAATTGATGTGGGTTTTAATTCACTACGACGCCCTACTGTTGTAATAGTTTTGTTGGTGTACCACAGCTGAATTTCATGTTTCCCCTTTTGGAGTAGGGAATTGTGGGTGTCTTATCTGCTGTCTGGTTGTGCTCACTTAGAATTGTTCCTCTTTGCTGCTTAACAGTTACATTTATTTATTTGTATATATATATATATATATATCTTATTTTTCTTTTGGTAAAAATTAAATTTTTTTTTTATTTTTATTTTTTTGGTCTGAGGTTCCTGGTTTTATTTGTTTAAATTAATGTTTTGATTTATGGGTCTGGGTTTTCTCTAATTTTCAATGTCTGCATCATGCATGCATGTAGTATATATATATATGGACTAAATGGTTACTCAAATTTCAAATTCTTGGGGGTTTTAAAAATTGAATCTTGATAAAAAGATGATGCCGAATTCGTCAAGATTCTTGGAATATAACTGACCTTTTTTGATGGGTTTTGTTATTCTAGGCAGTAGTTTTGTATATAATTGGAGGGTCGAGTGCGAATGGGGATTCAGACAATGAATTCTCATGTGACACGTCACAACTCGTGGCTAAGCCTCACGCTCCACGAAGTGGAGAACACTCTAGGCAATAACTTGGCCAAGCCGTTAGGCAGCATGAACCTAGACGAATTGCTCAAGAAACTGTGGTCCACCGATGGGGCCCACACGTCCGAAACGAACAATGACATCAGCGATTCCTCTCCAGCGTCGCTCCAGCGGCAAGCGAGCTGGTCGCTCGCGATGGCGTTTAGTGGGAAGACGGTCGATGAGGTGTGGATGGATATTCAGAAAGGGTATTCGGAAAGAGGGCCGACACTTGGCGAGACGACGTTGGAGGATTTTTTGGTCAAGGCGGGGATGTGTTTGACCTTGACCAATTCTGATTCTAAGATCGAGCCGTTCATGTCGTTGGACAGTGCGTTCAAGTCGCAGAAATTCTCGTCTCCTTCTCCTTCGATCGATGCTTCGTCTGATACACCAATGCCTGGGCGAAAGAGGGTTTCTGGGGATGTCGAGAAAAGTGTGGAGCGGAGGCTGAGAAGGAAAATCAAGAATCGAGAATCTGCTGCACGCTCAAGGGCGAGAAAGCAGGCAGAATTTTTTTATTTTTCTTAATATGCCTTTAATTTGAATTGTATTATATTTGCTCGTCGCGTATTGAATTTGAGAGTACGTTTGTCGGCATTCATCACAGGCTTATCACGATGAACTGGTGACGAAGGTGTCGTATCTCGAAGAGGAAATCTTGAAGCTTAAAAAAGAAAAGGTGAGTAATACCTTAGCTGTATATATCCTTATTTGGTCATTGCATTTCTCGTAACAGTCGTATTTAAGATGATGAGAGTTGTCTTAAATAGTAGAGTCCATGAACGCAACATTATTGAACTTATTAAAAAAAAATGAGTACTAATTTCGTTTCACTGGCCTTAATGATCTTGTTATTTCTTTTTCCCCATTACTCTTGATCTTGATTTAATAGCTTGTGGTATATGTTATTCTGCATTGTCGTGTTATATTCGTTTTCCTAATGGAATTGTTTTGATTTTATTACATATTACATCTCCATCTTTATTGTTTCTCCTGATTCGCAAACCTCCTCCATTTGCTCAACACAAAACATGTATATATATTGAACATGTCGATATTTTTGTCGATAGTTTTTTTTTTTCTTGGTAGAATAACTTTGATGGGCTGTCAGATTTGAAGTTTATAATTGTACACTGGCAAGTTCTTGGTTTACTTTTGCCGTTTAATGAAGTTCTTACTTTGCTCAGCCTGTTTGATGTTTATAAATTAGGCAGTAAAATTTGGTTTCTTTCCCAGCAGTCAATTAACAATAAACTGACCATAAATTTGATAAATAGGTTTTATAGTATACGTCGATTTTTTCCTTCTTAGCAAATGCTAAAAAAAGATTCAGTTTAACGCTTCTCTTGAAATATAAAAGTGCAATCTTTGTTCGTTAGTTAGATAGACAATCACATAGCTAGAATATACTCTGTCACTATTACCACCTTTTTACCAACTATATTGCCTCACAATTTGGAGCGTCGATGAGAATGTTAGGGGCATGTGAAAGCTTGAGTCAAAGTTTGGATATGAAAAGAAATCGTAAAAGATGTCACGTTTAAAGCTGGTTAAAATTTCATACTATATGTCACTTTATATCCAATGTTGCATTAACTACTGTTTTTTCTTCCATATCTGCCCTTGTTACCCTAAATTTTATGAAACGTTAATTGAAACGGAGGGAGTATGTATTACGAATATTTCAAGGCAAATAAAATATTATTTGTATGAACGAGTGCAAAAAGATAAATACTTTTGACTGAGTGTGGATAAGTCTCAAACTTTAGAATGCGTACATAGTTTGAGGAATCTTGGTGATGAGAGAGATGCGACACCATGTCTTAAGATTTCTTTAACTAGTTGATAATAAAATATTAATTCAAGAACATCGTTTGCAGAATTTGTAAACTGTTTTATGACGGGGGAAGTTGTTTTAAGTAAGAAGCTGATTATTGCAACATAGTTCGATTCTAATATGCACTTTGTTGCACGGGATGGATGATTTTGGATAATGAAGCCGGAGGTTGTTTGCAGTGTGGTCATGATTTTAACCTAATATCCACATGATTCTTGAAGAACTGCCGTTACTTCTGGAATATTCTGTCAGTTCCGTACACGCCTTGATGATGACTTAGTCACACGATAAAAATTAGTTCTATATTAAAAACAAAATAAATAAATTGACTTCGAGTTTTTTTCCTATTCAATGTCGATTTAGTTTGTGAATGCCGTTTTCTCGTCTTTGCAGCAATTTGAACAGATGATGATGTCTTGTGACTTATCCGAACCAAGGTACCAGCTCAGAAGAACAAGTTCGTTCTGATATCGCACGAGCAAGCCTTTACAAAAAATAAGCTTCCGCTTGCAATTAATCATACTTAATTACTTTGTCCATAATATATGTATAATATGTAATTTTTTTCTAGGCCTCGTTAGCCATAAGTGTCGATTGTAAGAGTTAAATACCGCAATCGTGTGTTGTTATATAGAAACGAAACGATGATGAAATGACGGATGTTTGTATGGTTAATTAATCAACCACGGTTAAAGCTCAAATGTACAGTAGTACTTAATACTCAGCATTGTAGTAAGACACTATGGTGTTATTTCGTTGTGTGGTTATCTGTAGCGTAAAAGATTCGAGTTGCTCAAGGTCTCGCTTGCTTAGATATATCGGATTAGATTGAATTATACTTGATTTGATTAATTTCCCACTAATTAAATAACTATTTGGTTATTATATATATTTCGTTAATTGTAGTATATGTAGTATTGAAAATATAGTGATGTGTTATTTTTCAATGACACTTCTAATTTAACAATAAAGACAATAAATATATATACTTTAGTTTTATTTTACATGTACACATTGTTTTGACTATTAATTTATTAGTGGAGATAAAAAAAAAATATTTTTTTTATAAAATATTTATTTAATATATTATAATTAAATTAGTTGAAGAATATTGAATATTATATGAAGATATATTTTTTATAATAAGATATATATATATATATATATATATATATATATATATATATATATATATATATATATATGATATGCCTAATTGGGCCAACCCAATGGGCCTACAATTTCTTTACCTAATGGGCTACGAGCCCAATATCGAAGACCAATATCACCGAGGCCCAAACACCTTCAAGTAAGGCTTGGGCCCAACAAACCCAACCCAACCCAATAAACGACATATAAATAGAGGTTTTACTCATTTTATTAAGGTACGTCTTATTAACTGAGCAATACTACAATACGTATTCTCTGGACTAATTCTATGATCAGCACGTCTGACTTGAGCGTCGGAGGGGTTTCCGCCGGATCAACCCCCGGCGTAGTTCACGTGTGTTCATCTCGCAGGTACCTCAGGATCATCAAGTTGTCAAGCTACTGATCCGCTTTGCTCTCCCAATACATTTTCTACACTACCCCAGGTGGTCTACATTTTAGCATCATCATTTTGGCGCCGTCTGTGGGAACGATGCAAACCAAATCACGTAGCCAACAAGATCCTCCTGAGGCGTCTGCTCGGAGAGAAAATGACACAGCTAACGACCTCCCACCTCGTGGAGGCTCTGGCTTGCCACCTCCTCCACATCCCATGGATCCGCCTCGCGAGGTTCAGGTGATCCCCCTCGGGACCCACTACTCGCCGATCCACCACTCCCTGCTCCTCGAATGGTTCAAATAACCGAGGATGCGCTTCAACGCATGATAGCAGAAGCTTCAACTCGCGCTGCCACAGAGGCCGTGACTCAATATATCGCCACGATGGGAGCAAATGCTCCCAACGCAATACCAGCGCCTCCTCCACATGTCTCGCAACTGTCGCTAGGTAGGATCGGATCCCTGGGG